AATTACCTTTTGATGAATCTAGAGTGGAAGAGGCTAAATGAAGAGATGGGTCTTTGATTGACTTTTGATTTAAGTGATGGGTCTTCTTTGCTTTGGTTTATTCCACCCGGTTTCAGTACCAGAAGGACTGCAAAAGGGCGACGATATTAACTTGTCAAACATAATTAATGAAAAGAAGGGGAGGGAGGTAATATATGGACAAACCACAATAAGATGCATCTAATTAAATATATGTGTACCTTTGGCTTTGGATTTCCTCTAGAATGATCAATATTGAGAGCTAGCTTGCAAGGAGGAGCCTTGGAACAAGAAAACAAGAATCATGGCAGAGTAATCAACGGATGGGTCCAGGGAGCTCTTGTTTTCGCAGAAAAGGGAGAGAAATGAAAAAGAAGAAGTTAGGTGATCGCTTTTTGTTTGTGGATTCCACCAGAAAAGACTAGATTACAAACAGAGCATATTGGGTGCTTTCTTGTTCATCGTCCAACACACATAATTAAAGATAGAAAAGAAGAGTGATGAGTTTGGATGGTGGAAGAGGGAGAGTGCAGAGGATGGTAGTCTTGGATTCTGCTTTGATTTTAGTTGAGTGAATGCTCTTCTTCAATTGATTCCATCCCAGCTGTTTCAGAACCTGAAATACAAGGCAAAAGGGCAATCGTTTTGTTAGTTGTTAAAATCAGAATGAAAAGAGATGGCGAATGAATAAACCAAATTAAATCAGATGCATGTTAAGTGAATATATATTAATACCTTTTGGCTTTTGATTTCCTTTGGAATGTTCAATGTTGGAACAAGAAAATAAGATCTACTGCATGGTAGAGCAAAAAAGTCTTTAGAGTGGAATCCATCGGTGAATTTGCAGGAAAGGGTTGTAAAATTGAGCTTTGGTTATGGGAGAGAAATGAAGATGGGAGAGCTAGGTACTTCGGTGGTTGCTCTTTTTTAATTGATTCCACCACGCAATTTCTCCCCAAAAACCAAGAAATTAAGGACATTGTTTCAGTCAACTGTCCGTGTCGCACTTTTTCTTTTGC